CAACGTCAGAGAGAAGCCGGCTCTATCTCTTTGTCAGATCGACACCGCTGGCGCTCTGTAAGAAACTTTTCCATTATTAGTACCTTTTTTTTTCACTTGAAGCAAAAACGGTTTCTGTCATACATTTGAGGAAACAATGATAAACACGTGCCCACCCTGCTGCAAATCACTTGCAAAGCTGTGCATACTTTAATGGAGGAAATGGGAGTTGTCGAAAGCTGACCTCTTTACCACTCCACCTTCACTAACGCACAGCATTTTAAGCTGGTGTTACCAGTTTTTACAGTTCAGATATTCTGACCAAATCTATTCAATCCCCTATTCCCAGTAAACTGAACAGGATATTAAAAAGATGCCATGAAGGATCTGGAAGCAGAAAAGTAAGGATTTTAAAAGCTGCTAGTTACTGTATTGATTAAGTAGAAAGGACATGCTGCCAGTGACAACTTGTTCCTCTCTTTTCAAGCTCATGGTAGTAGTTTACGTAACCCTATTTTGAGAAAGCCTGCTAGAAAACAATGTTGTAAAACTGCCAGCTCTCTGGTGGATAAAACTGGCAAACTTGTCCGTTTTGTGAAACCACAGACATTAAGAGTGAATGTGCCTGTGTGGCTTGTTTTTGTCTTCCGCAGGTTTGCAAACAAACTGTATTGCTAAGATGCCATTCTAACAAAATCCACTGTTTGATAAAGATAGTTTAATTTTGTCACATTTACCATTCGCTGATGCGAAAGGAAATCTTGTTCTCTGCTTTGTCTACATGTGGATGAAAGGAATAAAATATTTACTGTATAGAGCTGAAAGACCAGATGCTTCTTTACTTCAGAGACTTTTAGGGACTGGGGAGTCAGGAAGCTGCAATTCATTATTTTGGCATGAAATTTAGGCATGGAATTTTTTTTTTTTTTTTTTTTTTAATAAGAAAAAAACTTTTTTATACCTGGTTGTAATGTATTGTCTATTACTGTCGGCTTTTCTGTGTTCAGCACTGTAGTTCCACCTGGAAAAGAAATTATGTATATCATGATACGTGCGACACAACAAAGGACACAGCGGTCATTAGGAACATCCTACATATAAATCTGAAATATGACCACCTTTATTAGACATGAAGGCAACTGAGTACCTTAAGCATGAAAATATGACATTACATTTCTGGTTTTCTTTACAAAAACAAAACAAAACAAAAAAACACCACCAAAGCAATAAAACCCAACAAACAGGCCAAAAAACACCCCACCTAAAACTCAAATAAAGCTTTTTATGTTTTGAGTCCTTGCAAACACCAACTAATCAATCTCCATCGTGCCCTTACGGTTGTCCTCACTTTACAGACAGTGATTTGTCAAAATCAGATGGGATGTCAGTGACTGATCTCCCTAGCCCCCATGACACTCACGAATCTGTGCATTCAGCAAGCACATGCTTGCCATATCAGACACCTGGAGTCCTCCAGCCCCTGCACTGCTTCACAACCACTTTGTGAGGCCAGCTTGCATATGAGCTGCATAGGAATTGCCCAGCTTTTGGCTGTTCTTTAGGCAGGTTTCACTTCTCAAAGAGCAGGGGAAATTAAGAACTTTGTCTTATTCTTCAAGTAGATGAACAAGAGATGAGAGGGGTCATGCCTCTCTCTGTGCTCACTAATTGATATTTTAAAAATACTTGACTTTTTAAAGGTAAGCCTCATATTGATAAAGGAAACAAAAAGTAAACTAGTGCAATTATAAATGCACAGTGGGGTGCTGATTACCAGTCACTGGCTTTTTTCTTCTCCAGCAAGCAAGTACTTAAAGCATTATAGAAAGGATGAGTATGATGACTTCCAGTGAGAATGAATGCCCAAGCTATATCAGCTTTATGTTTGTGAGAGTGATCTGATGGGAAATGCTATAAGACACGCAAATAGAGTAGCTCTGTATGGGGTCCAAATAGAGCAGGAAGGAATCTGGCCTACAGAACAATTATAGTTAATTGCAAGGGAGGCTTCATTGTGATACTCACATATGTGCAAGTACCATCAGGGAAGTGACTCAAGCAGCCGTACCCATAAGAATGCTGGCACTGCACTCATGGGGAGTGGAGGAAAGAGGGGATGGCACTGATGCCTTGCTCTGCCATCCTTCATGGGCTGTGAGACTTACACACTTTCAGTCTATGCATTTTGAAGGAATGTTTGCAGTAAATTTATTGGTAAAATCACTTCTGTGCATTTTTTGTGTTGTATGTGACATCAAACATAAAACGTAACATTACTGCTGTGCCTGGAACAATTGAGCCAGGGTTTCTAGGTGGGGTTGTAAATTATACGGAAGTGCCAGCACTCTGTAGAAGGGCAGTGTAATAATTTTCAATGTAAGTAGTGAAATAGGTTCAGTTACCAGAAAATCTGATGCTCAGGGTGATGGCTGCTCCCTTGTCTTAGAGATTATAAACTGCTCCCTAAGCACAGCCTGCAAAAATTGCTGGAGGGAGTTTCTTCTGCTCAATAACCTTTCCCTGAGGGACATGTGGGATGCAGTCCTGAGCTGCTTGAAGTGCAGAGACTATTAGTGAGTGAACAGGAAGGTGCTTGCACAGATCTGTCTCCTTGCCCTCACACAGACTCTACCTATTGGGTCTTGCAAGCCAGCCTTCATCACAGAGCTTTGCAGGAAGCCCCAGGGTTTTCTGACCTGGCTCTGCTTTCAGAAAAATTACAAAATTACAATGTTTAGTAATACTGAAAGCTTTCTGATCTACCTTAACACAATATGGACTATTTTATTAGACTTTCTACGTGGCTCTTTTCACAAAGAATAAGATTCATCTGGAATACTGAGTTGAAAAGCAGTGACAGTGACCATGTGGCATCTTTTCTGCCCACAAATTGCTTTTCAATTTTTGATTTGCAGCATACATTTACGGGAGACATTGGCAAATCTCAGAAAGGGTCTGATGCTGAAACTGCACTTTCACTCATATCTGCTGTCAGATGTTCTACTTGACTGCTTCCAAAAAGTCAATCTTTCTCTTACCTAAGGTTTCTCAATGTCTTTGTGGACAGCTATTGTCAGGTTGTGGTGCTATTTTATGCCATAAACATAAGAAACAGTAAACTTTTATTACATAAGTGCACCAGGGAGAGGTGATGAAATAACCAGTGTTGCTATGTCCAAAAATAAGCTCAGCTGCTACAGAAGTATGGATCTAGTACAAGAGCAGGCCCAGAGCTTTCTGCAGTAAGTGACCTGCTTGAAGTGATCGAGAACGTAGTGATGGAGAATCAGCCATCTCAGAAGGATAGTGGTTCTCTGCAGAAGTGAGAAAATATGAAATTTAAGAAGCTTTCTCCCTTCCAGATGCAGATAAACTTGATGTCCTGTTTTCCTTTTAGTGATGGCAGCCCCTCTGTGGCTGTAATGCAGTGCTGATGGGGAAGGTCATGAAAATCTTTTTGGTGGCATACATGTGAGAATACTTTGATGAATCAATTCTGCTTTGTTTCTGTGTGAGTAAGGTTTCGGGCTGAGATTTGAGTCCTGTGCTAAATTTTATGCATGGAAGAGTTTAACAACATGGAAGAACCTAAACAATATTTCATTTTGAGTTCTTCAACTTCAGACAATAAACCTCAAAAGGTTTATCCAGTTTTGTTCTTAGTAAGAGAAAGTTTAATTATGACATTATGATTAGACAGAATTCCTGATAAAAAAAAAGCCCTCTGCTCCAGCTAGTCGCTATTATTTGCTTCCAAAATTACATAGCTGAGAAAACAATCAAAAGTATTGTCACATGTAAAAGGCAGATGCCTCTGTTTTGACAGCACCGACAATATAAACTGCATACCAATGTCCGTTTATGTTGAGTGATTAAATCAGTACAAATGTTTAGCTGGTTACTGGTGATGAATATGAGCTACAATGAAGCTGCAATGAAATGAGGATGGTTTCTGCACCTGTCAGTTGGTAGTCATCACCTGTGCCACTGTGACAGTTCGCCTGGTCATCATCGCACTCATCTACGGGCTTGCCTTCGGAAACAGTAGGGACAGCCGTTGGAGCTGAAAGAAAATCCAGTTGTTAGTTAAAAAGTGTGCTGCAGAATCAGCATGCAATTGGCAGTAACATCTTGATGAGCACCATACGGTGTTTTCTTGTGCTGTTTTTGAGAGAAGGAGCAACTCCACAGGTTAGTTAATATTTCTTTGCAGTGGGCAGTACTTGTTCTTCCTCTTGCACTAAGGCACTCTGCTGTATGTGAGCTCAAGGGCTGGATGGAGTTGGACAGTAAAGCCCTGGACTATCTGTCATTGGCTGATGACACCTTATTGTTTCTACAAACAAGGAGTGAAGGGATGGAAGTCTCAAGGTTGGGTAGAAAGCCCATAATCTTATCATGTGGCTGAAGTGCTCACGAGTAGGCCTGTACAGAGCAGTAGGAGGGGTGCAGTCAGGGTGGTAGTTCTCCAGCACCTACCACACTGCCAAAGAAATCTCCACATAGCACGTGTAAGGGAGGAAATGTCTGAGCAGACAGTAACAGTAGCAGGAAGGCAGTGTGATGTGGAATCACTTTGTGCTCACTGAGAAGGTCTGCAAGGAGTTTCTTTTGTTCTTGTTTTAGTTATAAATAAGTAAGACATCAATGATGTCAGTCATCCCTCCTGGCCACCTGCTTGCTTCTCACTGGTGATGACTTTCCGGTAGCTGCTGCACAACCAGTAGAAGTCTGACCTTTGTTATTGCAATTAAGACCTTGAGATTTGTGCAAGGTGCCAGAAAACATATCTAAATCCCAGTGTCTGCAAAACATATAACATCTGGAAAATCAGGATACAAGTTATGTTTTATGCTGGAAGTATATTTCCTCTTCTTAAGATAACCAGTCTGGGAATGTGGTCCAGGCTTTTGCCTGTTTTCAACTACTGCTATTTTCATTAACAATGTTTTACTGTGATTATAGCTCTATAATAATGCTTCACTTCCTTGGATTCTTCTTTGCCCTTCTACTGCCTCCAGAGCCCACTGTCCACATAAGATCTTATGCACTGAATTCATGGCCTGAAAATGTCAGTAGGGATGGCAGTTTCTGCGGAAGCTCAATTCTGGGATGAAACGAAGCTTTTTTGGACCTCAACCTATGCTTTACAGGTATAATCTAGCACTAAAGAAACATTTCTGTACCTGTTATAAATTATTCAGAGCATCTATTCCCCATACCTCCTTGAAAACCCCTCTGGGAGATCCCTCTAGCTTTCTACATCAAGTTAAGTTTCTTATCTTGAGCTTCATGCCCCTGTATAGCCTCAAGCTTGCCTATGTCTCTGCCATCAATTCACATAAGCCCCCTGGGATGCTTTGAAGACACAAAGCTTCCCCTTGCTCATTACTGCTGGAGAGCTGATTTTTACTCCTGTCTGTGCCTATCTCCATGCCTCTTTTCTCAGCTCAACACCTATCCTCCTCAGTAAATCTCAAGTGATTTCTCTCCATTCAACTCCCTCCTGAAGATACAGTTATACAACAAATTTTTCTTATTATGTTTCTCCTGTAGGTGAATGGAAATTGACCCTGCGTGTCCATGGATGACCTGCAGGTGAGCAACTTTCAGAAGTGCTCTAGAGTGGGAAGATGAATGCAAGTAGATGAGTCCCAGGGAAACAAAATACTTGGTGCTTCAGTTTGCCTATTTAGTCTTTTCTGGCTCCTCCACCTCACTGAGCCACATGTTCTTGTAAGGTGATCCATAAACTCACTTCTTGATGCATAGGTGGCTACAGAACCCCCATAGCAGAAGGACATTACCCACAGGTTGTAAGTTTACACAGGGCAGGTGCTGAGTTTTCTTTTCTCTTTTCTGAGCAAGTAGTACAATAGTCTGCAGGAACCAAGAATTCTCACAGGAAATTAGGACTTCCTGCAGGAACTAAGAAGAATTTTCAAACTCCCAACTTTCTGGGCCAAGTAAAAAGCACACATTCAATTTGGCCTTCACTAAAAAACAGCAGAGAGTTCAGCAGTTCTCACAGTAATGCTTCCCACTCCTCCACTGTGGGAATGAGACAGTGAGAGAGAAACAGAGGTGGAACAGTCATTCATCTTGGGAGCCTGTTCAGCGACTTCTTTCTGAGGTATCATATGAAACCCCTGATAATATGGTTTGTTATTAGCTGTGTAATGGTAAGCTCTGTGATTTATAAGCCAAGCCACTGAACCTTCATCCACCAGATAACACTGTGAAATTCACACAGTGCTATCTGTAGTTATCTATGATGTTAAATAACTCTTGTTTGTATACCAAAAATCAAAGCATAATAATACCTCATGTCATAGTCCGAGGATAAATGTCTAAACTTTGCTCTTCCTGGTCTTTCATCTCTTTACATTCTGTTGCAAAATTAAAGCATGGTAGGCAACAAAAAGGACCTTCCTCACCCTTAAAAAGCAAGAACACAGACCCTGTCCAGACAAGTAATCACTGCCTACCATGTTGTCTGGTTGATTTTCACATCCTTTGAAGGAGCAAAAGGTATAATTTCTCCCTTTGCATTCTCATAAAATATCTCTCCCTGGGTTCTATCATGGTAACAGAAAATATAAGTTTCTGTCTTTATTTTCTCCTAATAGCTCTATGCTTCTCGAAAGCATAATCATAAGTTTGCTTGAGGGAACAGAAACCATGTGGAGAGTATCACTGTGATTCAACAAAGGATGGGAGAGAGAATAACATTTGTGCCTTCAGCATATTCGAACGTCTGCCCAGAAGGAACTGATTAGTCCAAGAAACAGCACTAATGGCAGTCACGGAAGCAAGAGTATGATGTTATGCCTGTACAAGAACAGCAGTGTTCAGCAGTAGTCCAAGTACAGAATGTCTGTCTGAAAATAATAAAGTGCATTCATCTCTCGCAGAGCAATTACCTTCAAGTTCACATCCCAGCAGCTCCATTCGAAGTCCCAGTCCTGCGTGTGTGGCTCTCTCTGGGTAGACGCGGACAAATCTCGTCGATACAGGTTCAAAAGTCCGCAGTTCAGGTGTATCGTAGTTGGTGTTGCCTTCAAAAGTCTGCAAGGCATGACAGATGCTGCTTGTTAAAAAAGAAAAGATATTTCAACGTTTTCTTCATTCTCTAGTCTTTGAATTAGGTGAGAAGTAGGCCAGATTCTAACCATTTAATAAGTGTCAGACTTCCCCATCCTAAACGAGAATGGAAAATACACAGTTAAAGCTTCCCGGAGAAGTAATGCATTTCATTTTTCATAAACTCAGTAGCAACCAATCCATCAGGGTCATAACAAGAGCTGAGTGTTTAATGAGACATGTTTTTAAATGACGCTCTGATCTGGGGTTTAACTGGGTGACATTTTCAACACTTCTTAGGGAAAAAAAATGACTGAGGTGAAGATCCTGTCACCTTTTAAGTGGCTGCAATAATAATCCAACTATTCAAGAGAAAATTTCAATCTGATTTCCCCCAGTGACAGAGTTTCACAAGTTGTAGTTATTTCAAAAGGCATAAATTAAACTCCAGTAACAGTAGCTGCAAGAGTTCTTCCAGGGAGACTGCTATTGAATAAGAATAGAAAGAAAGAAAGAAAAAAAGAAAAAAGAAAGAATGAAAGAAAGAAGAAAGCTGCTTCCTGACAAAATTGCAATATAATATAATAATTTAACAGGTAAGGCAGGTCAGTGAAGGTACCTTTCAAACAAAAATCTCTTGTCTGAGTTGCACTCTGAGTTCTTTAGCCATAATATAGCTCTCAGTGGCATCTGTCTGATACCTTCAGTGTCTCCTTTCATTGACATTTTGTATATGGGACAAGTTGTAATTCATACTTAAACGAACACCTTTATATTATATCCATGGAGATAATAGATCCTTAGAATGAATTTGACTGTACAAAGAAATAGTCTTTTCCATGATGTGTTTACAAGCCTAGATGGCTAAATAGAGTTATTTTTGGCCTAATTTTTAACTTCAGAAGGCCCTGTAGAGAATAAATAACAGAATATTAAATGTATATAAAAGAGGTAAAAGTAAAATGATTTCAGCTTTTCTTTCTGTTAATAGTTAAATTACAAATCAATACAAATAACCTTCGACAATGTTAGAAGTGCTGCTACTTCCAACTCATGGCTGTGAGGTCTGAAGCTTTCTTGAGGAAGAAGTCAGCACCTGTCCTTCCTTCATTTTAGATGACAATAAAACCCGGTCCTCCTATTGAGCTGGGACAGAGAAAACTGAAGCCACAGGAAAAATTGGCTATATTGCCCAAGAGCACAGCTAAAACTGATAGCTGCTTTTGCTTTTAGTGCAGTCCTAAAAGACTTGTTGTGTTTGCTTTATGCTTGTTTCTACCGAACGGTCCAGAATCCCTTCTGGCCACTGGTTAGAGCGCCAGTCGCATAAGACAATGTTGCAGTCACATAAGCCAGTGTTGATGGGTGAAGTGATTTCTACGTAAATGCTTTTGCTATTATTTCTTAGTGAAGACTGTAACTCTGAGATGGTTCAAGGGACACAGCCTGACCTCGTGTTCAGACAGTGCTGGAAGAAAGTTGTCAAGAATTCACATGTATATGGCCTGTCAAGAACTAATTAACTTGCAATTACATATTATTAGATTTGAATTCCAATATAGGGCAAATGATCAAAAAAGCTACCTACCGCATGTGAAAGAATGAATGCCATTTTATCTGCAGAAAATAGACAGACGTATCTGAGGAATCCTTGCTTCCTTTTTAATAGTAGTCTTAATAGCAACATATAATAATGACAACTGTTTTATAAAAGACATCAATACTGGAGTACTGACACATAGACATTAGAATTCAATAGGCATCTAGAATTATATTGAATCATAATTATATTGAATCATTGTCCTTTGTAGTGAAGAGCTGCCTGTGATTCAATTTTGACTGTTCATTTAAAATACATACTGATATTCTTTGTGGGGGAGGAGAGAGGAGTACACAGTAATACTTCACTTTGTGAGCATCTTTTATATATGCTATGTCACAAATCGATTTACTTTGTTACAAAGATAAGTACAATAAATGATCACAAAACAAAAGGGAATATAAATCAGCAAGAGGGGAAAAAAAAAAAAAGGTTTTCCCCAACAGATTTGTAAATCAAAATAAGTATGGCAGAGAAATTTAAAAAGGTTGTTCCAGTTGGCAGGACATTTAGAATTTTCATGTGCAGTAAATGACCAGAAGTGGTGTGAAAACCAAAAAAAAGGTCATCAGTTGGCAAGAGGAAGGAGGAAAGAAGAATGAAAGACAAAGATGAATTTACGGAGTGAATTAGAGTAAGCCTGTGGAGAACAAAAACAAGTTGGATTTTGAAATGAATGTGGGGTTCTGCGTGGTTGTTTGAGGATTTGAGTGATATTCACTCCTTCAAGTGCTCGAGATAGGCTGAAGGGGGAAACATTCTGCACAGGCAAAAATAGCAGAAATTGGGTCAGCCAAAGAAAAAAGAGTTACGGTAGTCCCAAGGAAGGAGCTGCAGGCATGGATGACAAGATCGTATTGAGGTGATGTTTCATCCTTTGGACATATTCTGTTTTTACATTTAGCTTGTCGTTTCTCTTCCCTTTCCTTGCGTGCAGTTGTTTGTTTATTGAAAGTCAAGACTTTAACCAAGTGAAATGATGTGTTTCATTTCATAAAATGGGGCTGTTTCTAATCCACGTTCCTGCTGTGACTCATTATAGCATTCTGTCCTATCCAGCTCTACTTACATTTAAAAATGCTACATTCCAGTATTAACATTTTAAATCCCTCAGACTCCCAAATCATAGGATTTATTTAATTCTCTTTTAAGAAAACTAGTACTTTGGAGGAAAGTTTATTAAATGTCTTGAATTTTTGGGAAGGATTATAATTAGGCCGCAAGAGATTTGAATTCCAGCCCTCCTCATTCCATTAACCTTTGAAAGTTAATTTCTGGTAGTGATGAAAGCTGAGGATGGGCTCAGTGTGTTAGTTAGCACTCTAGTTTTCTTGTCAAACTGCTAACTTCTGACAATGATGGCAAGTGCTTGTATTAGAAAACAGAAAGCCATGCAGCAGACGGCGCACTGCTTTGAAAGCATATGGCATTATTTTTTCCCTCATTGAGCCCCAGTGTAGAAGTACATGTCAAAACAACATCTATTTTAGAAAGAAAATGGTTAGATCCCATTGTTGATTTACACTCTCTTCACACTTTATGATGAAGTCAAAACTCATGGTAACAAGAGAAAGGAGCTGATTGCAAAGGCTGAATTCATTTAGTTTTAATCCTTGTAACAAATGATGAAAAGTGAGATTCAGTGAGATTAAAACAGGAGTGAAGGAAGCCCAATATTTACCAAATATGCCTGGAAAAGCCACATCCATGGGCACACTCAGCTTCTCCATTAAAGAAACACAGGTTTGCCCGACTGGTGAGTCTATATAGCAAAACAGCTTTTACATCGACTTTTCAGAATAATGCTGCTAAGATATGGAGCAACTCTCAAGGTTTCTGTTTGCCAAGCACCATAATGATTTGCTTTTTAAGGAAACGTTTTTGGTTTATCTGATTCCCTGATCTTTCCGATACT